TGGAGCCTCAGCTTCACGATCTGTCCTTCCAGTGAGCACTCAGGGCTGATTTCCTTCAGAATGGATGTGTTTGATCTTCTTGCAGTCCATGGGACTCTCAAGAGTCTCCTCCAGCACCATAATTCAAAAGGATCAATTCTTCGGCGAACAGCCTTCTTTATGGTCCAGCTTTCACTTCCATACATCACTACTGGGAAAACCATAGCTTTTACTATATGGACCTTTGTTGGCAAGGTGATGTCTCTACTTTTTAAGATGCTGTCTAGGTTTGGAAGAGTCATACAAACCTGTTAATTCTTTCCACAGGTGAAGAGGGCACCACAAATACGAGGGACTGCTGCTGCTGCTGCTGCTAGCCTTTCCCCTATTGAGCTCGGGATGCTTACCTGGATAGGCTTTCTGAGAATGAGGAACTCGAGTCACACAGGGTTCCCTATCCCATGGAAGCCTACGCATGCAGTTTTGCCACAGGGCCCCACTCAGCAGGAGCAGGACAGCCCCACAAACAGCAAGGCTGACCTACACATTTTAATGCAAGTGGGTGAAATGCATACTGCATTACTATCTAAAGAGAGGGTTCCTATGAGACCATTAAGTCTAAAACCTATATGGCTCTCTTTTGCAGACATCCAGACATGGACAGCTTGATGCCAGAGGCAAGGCAAATAGTGCAGCCCTCACACCTTGTGAGTTACAATGCTTCCCTTCTGTTGAGTAGTAGTAGCCTCAGTTTAGGGTGTATGTACACATTTAAAGTCCATTCCATGCAGCGCAACACAAGCAGAGAGACAAAGGGAACACTTCCCCTCCCTTTGTTTAATAATCTTGAGGTTTACTTAAGGCAAAAATGTGTGCCATATATTGTTTGCCGAGTTCAATGAAAGCAAATGTATAGAATTATATAGTATTGTTTCTTCTGCCCAAGCAGCTTGTATTCTCAGGCAAGCTTTCCTTTCAAATTCTTCCAATTTCAGCTCTCGAGACTCCATAAAATGCAATTATGGAATTATATCTGCTGATAATATGCTTGTGTCCAGTGCAGTTGGATCTACCTAATGCAAAAGAAATTACTTTTAAAAGATAATTGCTAGGCACAGTAAAATGGTTGTACTTAACCCTAGTTTGTACAGAAGCTACATGAGAGAAGCGGAAATGCATTATATTATATTATATTATATTATATTATATTATATTATAAATTATTATATTATAAATTATTATATTAGAATTAGAATTGCCTTCCACTGCTGCACAACCTGTCCATTTTCTTGTAAACTGGTTTATCCAAGTACTCTCATGGGGGCCTGGAAAATTCAGAATGAGTTATATTTGTCACCAATCCTTATCCCATAGGACAGGCATGCAAGTCTAACTGAGCAAGTGTTTTGTTTTGATTATTATTATTATTCAGTTAATAAGAAGATGCTCCCTCCTGTTTCTTGCAAAGTGTTGCCTACCTTGCCTTTACATCCATCAGAAGTGCTATCGATTTTTAAAATGTCCTTTATTTTCTTTTTTACCTATTCAAATATTTATAACCCACCTTACATCAAGTGATCTCCTGGCAGAATACAACAGCGAAACACAAAATAAAACAATGTTGGGGTCCTTCTCTGGATCCAAGGCTTGCACCTTGTTCTCCTCTCCCACATAGCTGTCCTAGGAGTGAGTGCTCCTTCTGCTGCAATAATGGGAAAGGGCAGACAAGATATGGCGCCATGGCAGAAACCCAGCTGGCTAGCAGCAAGCACAGCAAATAGAGAAGCCTCAACGATGGGAAAGAAAACAAAATAAATAAGGCAATACCTTGGCTTCTTACTATAATACTACTCAGCAGCAAATTAATTATTCATTATGACATATTTACTTATGGCTTTTATATTAAACTGCAAATTACACATTGAAGGTCATTGGGATAAAGCAGAGGGCCCACCTCTGTGGCCGAAGGGTGGAGAAAAACGAGCCCCAGGCAAAAAGTCATGGAGCTGCCCAAATAAATATTGCTGCTTCTCGAGATTGAGAAAGCACTGTGGCCACATAGAGAGCCCACCATGTGTGACAATGAGGTGAAAAAGTAAAACCCTAATAGCTTTTCCAGCATGAAGATTAGAATGACCATGCTTCTTAATCTGCATAAATATACCTGGGGGAGAAGGTTGGCTGCTACTGGAAACCTAGGTGTGTGGAGGGGAGGCAAAATAGTGTTACAGATATCGTGTCTCAGAGAGGGTGCAGAATATGGGTCAGCCTAGACAAAGCTCCTATGCTCTTTAATACAGTACTAAAATGGTACAAGTGTATTTAATTTGGACATGAAAACAATCAAGCAGGGTCTTAGAAGCCTCTCAGTATGCAGCTTGCAGTATGCCAAATGTAGTTTGAGAATTAATCTAGGGAAATTCAAGGAAGGACAGTAAAGCAAACCATAAACAATAAAGCAACAATTTTATTTGGACAAGACAGGCTATGTGCTAGGAAGGATGTGTGTGTGTGTGTGTGTGTGTGTGTGTGTGTGTGTGTTCTTTGCATTGCTTTCTGCAGTTATCTCCTGTACAAAAAAATGTACTACAAATCTCCACAAATAGCTTTTGCTCCCAATGTTTACTTTGTTCAAGAGCTTTGTGTTTCAGATCTTCACACAGGCTGAAACAGGACATTACATTGCTTGACTTTTAAACAAAGGTTGCTTCATAGCTTTATAAAATTACCTTGTTAAAAGATACTTTTCCTTAACAATATTGTGGATCAACTGAGATTCTTCCATGGTGGCTGGAAATAGTTTGATTTCTCCACTTACCACTTTTCAATTAGTTTTTTTTACTATTATGAAATTACAGATTCTTTTGCCACAACTTAGGCACAAAAGCAACTCAAGCCAAGCAATAAATTCAGGGGGCAAACGCCTTTAAAATTCTACTTAGGCTGCAGTCCTGTGCCCACTTGCCTAGGAGTAAGCACCACTGAACTCAATGAGATCTGTTTCTAATGAAGCCTGATAAATTGCACAACTAATGTTCTAAAATAGTCACAGCCAATTGTCCTAAACTTATTCATATTCAGACAAGAATATACATGCACGAAAGAAGACTGTGATGGCCAGTAGGGAAACAGAGTCCTAACATGGCAGAATAGACTGTATGATGTTCCAATTGCAAGTGGAGCACCACATTTTTAATGCTTCTGTCCATAAAAAAATAAACACAGCTCTATATGAAGATCTATTGGGGGGGGGAGCCCTTGGGGAGGTGCTGTTATGTACTGAAGTTCTCACCCTGGACCAGCAGGGGGATACTGTAGATAGTTTTCACTCAGGTCCACATATGCAAATAAGGGATTGAAAGTGACATTCAGTGATTGGATAGTTACAGAAAATGGTTACTGTTGTGTTCTAGTGGAGCTCTATATAAGCAGGCTGGCTGAACACTTCAGTTCAGTTCTGTCCTGGCCTGTGAATAAACAAGAGCTCTTTGAAGAATCACTGTGTCGTCTGATATGTTCACCCACAACTTAACAGGTGCAGAGGGGTAAGTGGGGAAACATTTGAAGTGCTACCCTCACCTTCACCTGCAGTCTGAAGGTGGTACAGTCCACAAGATTCTACCACCTCTCTCACCTTCATGCATATAACCAGACTGCATACCAACATTTCGACATAGCTGAGAGTCACAACATACATGTTGTTCTCACTGCCAACATCCAGCTACTTCTGCAATCCTCCTCTTTGTGGACATCAGACTGGTCCTGCCATGAGGCAGAGTGAGAAAGCAGGTGCTGGTAAGTAGGGAGCAGGTCACCAGTGGCAGCCTCTGGGACATGTCTCCCGAATCCCTTGACCAGCCTCTTCAGGTGGAGGACAAAACTATGTGGGCCACACAGCTTGCCCTGCACCCCTTAAGCCAGGCATCCCCAAACTTGCCCCTCCAGCTGTTTTGGGGACTACAACTCCCATCATCCCTAGCTAACACGACCAGTGGTCAGGGATGATGGGAATTGTAGTCCCAAAACAGCTGGAGGGCTGAGTTTGGGGATGCCTGCCTTAAGCAGCTCTTTCCAAAAGCTAAATAGTAGCCCCCTGTTTAATCATTCAAACCAGGAGTGCTTACATACTTAAAAAAAAAAAAAATGTTATCATCCCAGGTGAGCGTTGTCAAGATTGCAAGATTGCTTTAGGGCGTCAAACAGAACCAACTTTAGTCCTCTTCAGACATGCTCACATAACTAGGAACAGAACACCCGCAAAACAAGGAATAAAATATAGCAGTTCTAATGCCTTTCACTGATATTTCTATAAAAAGAAAGCACTCTAAGAAGGAAGGTTATTCCTACTACCTTTAAAGTAATTACTAGCATCATAGTAACGGGATGACAACATGAACCATAAGCCGATAACACTTTTAAAGAAAAGGGGGGAACCCCACTGCTGATCTCTACATACTTCTGTGAACAGAGATGTTCTTGTTTTGTTTTTTAAATAATTACACTAACCGATTTAGGCCTAATGATGTTTATCCTAAAAAGCAAGGGCAGAATTAAGCACAGCTGATGTGTTGTTAACCATTATTGAAAGTAATCATATATTCTCTGTGGCCAAAGCCTTTTCTGGCAGCAGCCTCTCTGCGGATTTATCATTAACATCTACATCTAATACTCCTAAATAATTCAGAACACCTTTCAGCCTTATGCCCTTGCCTGCCTACCCAGAAACCTCTTTCGCTATTTACATTACATCCAAGTGAAAATACAAAATGTGACTGTTTGTTTGTTTTTACTTCTACTACTATTACTTTGTAGAGGTGCAAGCACTTCTCTCCCTTTTAAACATGGATTACTCCCTGCCCCCACCCCAAAAGGTATTTATTAAATCTCTAAATTTAGAAAATTACCCAGAGTTAGAAGCATGTGGTCTCAGATTCTTATGCAAATTCCCCTTTAATAATCCTAATGCAAGCAACCCTCCAATCAGAAGAATGCTGTCCCATCCCTGATACCTGATGCCAGCTTTCTGGTAATGTAGGCCACTGAAGCAAATCCAGAGAGATTGAGTTGGAAGACAGAGGAGCATCTGAGATTCATTTGGTTACTGTGCTACCTCGCTATCTCTCTCTCTCTCGCTCCCTCTCTCTCTCTCTCTCTCGTTGTTGCTTCCACCCAGGAAGACTTTCAAAATGGGTTTTAGCTGAGACATTTCCAGCTGTGTCAAGAGTAAGGAGAAGGGGCACCGTTTAAGAGAGACCAAAAAGCAAGGACCTAAACTGAAGCGGAACAACGAGGAACATTCATGAAAGCATGAGGTGGCTCTTAGACAGCAGCTGGAAGAAATTTGGACACGCTGACAGAGGAAACTATGACTGGTTAACTAGTGAGCCAGGTGTCCCATTGCTGGAAACACAGCTACAGGTCTGTACACAGCTCTTTCTGCTCCATTCAAGAATTTACAATTTCTTCTCTTACGAGAGATGACTAAAAGACAGTTTTGATAGAATTTGGACTGTGTAATATCAGATAAGCTGACTTTCAAGGGTGGGGAGATGCACTCTTCGTTTTATTCTCTGTTCTAGGGCCTCGTTTTTCTGTTCAACAACTTGAGAGAAAAGGGCATTATGTAGACAGAGATGCTAAAAGTTTAGTCCAAAACTGATACTGGGTTACAAAATGAGATAATTGTTCTTTCATCTGTCGTTTTCTTTCAAAATGCATGCCTCCTTGTCTCTCCTCCCACTCCAAATCTCTCTCTATCTCCCTTGATCGGGTCTCTGCAAACCCTTCCACAGATGTTAGACTGAAGTGCTGAACTCTTATTCTCTAAGCTGCGCAAATTACTTCACAGAGTGTAGGGAACTGGCAAGGGGAGGGAGCGGGAGACGCCTGTCAGAAATGAAAACACTGCCCTGAATGTAAAGAGGGAGAGTTCATAGATAATGAAAGAGACTTAAAAGGTCACGTTTAGCCCTGGAGTAAATTAATATCCAAGGATAAACATTTAATACAGAAGAAATAACTTTGTCCACACTCCCTATAGAAGGTACTAACCATGCTGAATAAAAATAAATAAATCTGTCTTAGACCAGCATGTCTGCAATTAAGTCAATTAGCAGTGCAATCCTATGCATGCCTACTCAGAAGTAAGTCCCACTGAGTAGATCCATTTGTGACAGGACCAAAACAATAGATTGTATATGACAATAAACTGATTTCTGCTGCTATCGCCTCAACCAAAACACCCCTCAGTTAAATGCAAATATTCAATATGTGGGATTTTCTAGGCTCACTCACATATCCATTTGTTTTTCATTCACCAACACTTGATTCCATTCACTTGGTGGAACTTTTGAAATATATTGGGTCTGAGTTGCCACTAAATGATACAGAACCTCTGCCTGTGGTGATAAATATGTGACAATTCATGAGCATATTCACATCATTTACCTGATGTGAAAGTCAATGGGATTTATGAATGTGCATTTGTGGACTGGACCTCTGTTAAAAGTCACTTCACATTAAATCTTGCAATTTTCATACACAAATCATTCCTGCTTTTGAATGAAACAATTTCCACTTTACGCACAATTCTGCTTTTAATTATTAATTCCAAGTGGAACTAGCCCCCTACCCACAGTGGTCACACAAGCAGGTTTTTTCCAGAGGTAAAACTAGTTAACAAAGAAATAAAATTGTTTTTCTTACCTCCATAACAGGACTAATACATTCATGAATGTGTAGAACAACTTGCAAAAGCAGAGAGTCCCATGCAGACTTGGGGATAAGCACACTATATAATATGGTATCTGAATTCTTACCCTCTCCCCTCACTGAAAGTGCACCCTACCCATTCATTAGCTTAGGCATTCCAGTTAGAGAAAAGTTTGAATTGCATGTCTTTTTAGTTTGTCACTTCTGAGTATTACATAATACGTAGAATTATAATTCTGTGCCCAGCTAATAGCTCCTAGTCTATATATATTTCCGTATATAGAGGTGGTAGAGTAATTTAGTTGCAAATTTGCACTTCCCAAAACAATACATGTACCAAAATAAGTTGTCCTTTGAAATTTGCACTTCTCAGAATTTTGCAATACAGTTCTCCATTAAAAAATGTGTATGAAACACTGTACCTTAAGGAAACATGTGCATAAAAACACGTGTTCATTAAAATAACACACAGCATGTGTTATGTTAGGGAAAATTCATTGCAAAAATGTGCTTATTAGGAAAACAAATTGCACACAAATGCTGATGAATTTTCTTGAGGGTTTTCTTTTTTAAAAATGCAATGCAGAAAAGTGGTAAACTGAACTTGAGGCTGGAAAAAGGAAAAACTGAGAGAAACAAGAATTGATAGCTAGCCTGTTGCTAACTGTAATTAAGCCCAAGTATGCATTACTGAAATAATAAAATATTATTCCCTTGCCTACCCCTGCCTCCATTTTCCTCCTCTTCCTCTGCTGTTTCCCTGTGCCTGTTTTATATTATAAACTTCTGCCACGTATGTTCTTTGTAAAGTACCATGTACAGAGATGGCACTATATCAATAGATAATATTAGGAAATTGGGCAAATCAGCTTCTTCTACCAAAATGACATGTCTCTTATCGCTGATATATTTTCCCCAAATTGTTTTGTCAACCAAAAAGCATAACCAAAGTATCATAGCTGTCAACTTTCCCCCCTTTTTAAGGGAAATTCCCTTATTCCGAATAGGATTCCTCGCAAGAAAAGGGAAAAGTTGACAGCTATGCAAAGTATTAGGAGGGATGCCTGACGTAAAATAAAGAAAGCACAAAATGATAAGATTTGTTTCATGAAAGAGAACCTAGGTTAAAAACCCAGGCAATTTTATCTTTTTTAAGAAGTGAAAGATATTTGAGAAAGGTATTGCTTCTCTTAGTGTACATGCACATTTCTTTTTCCACAGCGTCACGTATGATTTTGTAGAGTTGTGAAAAATACAAAAGCCTGCAAATGTTCACTAAAATCTATTTACCAGAGTTCTTAAGTGGAATGAGTGTACTTATCGCACTCCACGCAGTGATTTCCCCCTCCCCACTTTGTCTGAAAAATATATGATCTGTCTCCAGCCTCCATTATATCAGCCTCCCAAAAGCAACATTTTCAGTCATCAGCACGCTGACTATGATAAAGTTTTCTGCATCTATAAAGCATACAATATTCAAGCACATCTGACGACTCATATTGAAAATCTATGCAACAAATGCTTTCACTGCTCCCGCATTTGGAAATATTGATTCTGCTTTCCCTAGTGAGGTATAAAAAACAGAGGGTAGAAGACGCACTTAAGAGTCATTTGGAATGCATCCTGTTTGTGATTCAGCCATTAGGCTGCAATTTGTACTAAAATGGAATGGAAGAGAAAAGTCACAGCTTTCCTTTATCCCATCCACCTCTCCCCACTACCACCAACCATATTATAAAGCCTTTATTTTAAGGAAAACTGTAATTGATCTCACAATTCATTGTGCCAGTTATTTACTACTTCTTTTTTTTGCAATTTCCTGGTATTACAGTAACCAAAACTACAATGTGCTATAAATGTTGAACATGGATCAGGTGGGGATGCCCATCTCATACTTTTATTTGAAGCCTTTTAAAACTCCCACTTCCTTCACCATGACCCAATGGCCAAAGGTTTCTTCATCACAGCTTTGCTATCTCTGCTCCACTCTTGGTGCATAATAAACTTTTGGCGGGCACCAAACCTTAAATCAATATTAATTTCATTATTCTGCTATTTCTATAAATTTCCCAAAAGTGATAACTAAAATGAGTGTGATTTTACTTCATTGTATGTGTGTTTTTAACTGAGTCTATAGCAAATGAGTTTATAGCACTTTACTCAAAAACAACCATGAGCGCTAGTTTTTCCCTCTCTATACAGTGGTACCTCGAGTTAAGTACTTAATTCATTCTGGAGGTCCGTTCTTAACCTGAAACTGTTCTTAACCTAAAGCACCACTTTAGCTAATGGAGCCTCCTGCTGCTGCCGTGCCACCGGAGCACAATTTCTGCTCTCATCCTGAAGCAAAGTTCTTAACCTGAAGCACTATTTCTGGGTTAGTGGAGTCTGTAACCTGAAGCGTATGTAACCTGAGGTACCACTGTATTGAGTTCCTAGTGCAATGTGGGAATGTTCATGCTCAGTGCTATTTTTCTAGAAAAAGAGATGCTAGAACTGTTCTTGAACACCTCCCTTGTTCTCTCACAATGGCAATGGCACCCACCTGAGAGGTGCCGGAATTGAGTTCCGGCTGAAAAAAGCCCTGTTCACACTGACTTGATTTCATGATGCCTAAGTGCAAAAGGCACTCTGATAGCAAGGAGAAGACTTTCCTTCTTAGTGCACATTGTGCATATTTGATACAATATTGCAACAGAACTCCAAAAGAAATTACACACAATAAAGATACCTATGTGCTGCCTTGACCTAGGAATGAATGTCCTGAATATATGCTTTGGAAAGGAATGAGCACTCGTGTGTTTACCATGTGCACACACAACAGGAAGCTGTGACTGGCTTCCTATCGCATGCACTGCAGACACAGCTGCATTCATCATAGGTAATATTGCGTATATTTTCTCATATGGAATTGGCAATCAGGCACTGGGCATACCAAATGCTATCAATTGGTTTTTGAAGGCATGGCGTTTGTTCGAATGGAATGTGCACTTAGACACAACCAATGTATTCTAGAGTGCTAGCACAGACTTGTGTCTATATATGGGAGGGAAAGCAATGCAAAAGCAGCTGAACTTATTTACATGTCATGAGGCTTAGGGGTTGTGGTCTAAGATTATTGTGCAGCAACAAATGCAAGGAGAAAAATCAATAGCATCCTTCAGGGAGGCAGCATGGCGGCAGCAGTAGAAGAAAAGAGCTCCTGAAGCCAGCCAGAGTAAAAGGCTCTGGCGACCGATTCCCGGACCCCCCAGGACTGCTGCTGCCAGCCACGCCAACGGAGAGGAATTGGGGGTGCCCGGGCATCTATCAAAGGAGCCAAAACACCCCCCCACGACCTTGATTGAGCCGGAAAGGCACCCGACCCCCCCCCAACAGCCGAGAGGAGCTCCAAAACCAGGAGGACAGTGGAGCTAATGCAAAGAGGGAGAAAGAAAGGGAGAGAGAGGAAGAAAAAGAAAGAAAGAAAAAGGAGCCCCAAATTTACCGTTGCTGCCCCCATCTCTGCCGACAGGAAAGCAGAGGAGAGGTAGGTGAGCACGGTGAAGGCTTCGGGGAAGAAAAGGGAAAAAAACGCACGTGGCTGAGCCCTACCGGGAGCTCCAGCGGCAAGGAAAACACAGAGAAGCTGCATAACAAAGGAGAAAAAAAAACTACCCTTTTCCCCCTTTCTTTTCTTTTTAACTCCCCCTTTTTTTAACCCCTTC